GGGGCGGGGCGGGGCGGGGGGCCCAGACCTAGAGCTTGGGGTGGTAAGGCTCAAAAGAGCTAGAGACCTGAGAGAAACAAGCCAGAGAATAGGTGAGTAGGGTACTGTGTCAGGAGCAGAGCAGCTGGGGAGCTCTCGGAGAAGGGCCCCAAATGCCTCGGGCTGGGGCAGGAGAATGGCTCGCTCCTGTGCGCAGAGCGGACTCTGGCTGGAATTTGACCTTCCAGTGTAGATGGTGGGGGCAGGGGGCCAGTGCACGTTCTCCTTTTCCTATTTCTTCACAACTGGTGAAACTGAGGCAGGAAGCTGGCCCTCAGTCCCATTCTCCCTGACCCTCAGGATGCACTTCAGTCCTGAGCTGGCTGGGGTGGCAATTCCCAGCTCCCACTCCCCCCACCAGAAGTCCCCAGAGAGCCTGAGCGTTCAGGCCGGGAGGCTGGCCTGGCTGGGACGCGGTGTTCCCCCGCTGGCCCTTGAGCCCTGCCCTGAGACCTAAATTCCCCCCCCGCCCCTGCCCCGCCCCACTGGGGGCTGGATCTCAGGATCCCACAGATCCCTGGATAGGGCAGATCCCTGGGCATGGGGCAGCTCCAGAGCAGGGTGGGCTGGGGGCAAAAGATCCTGGGCTGACACTCCCAGCAGGGTAGATCCTGGGAATCTGATCTCCTGGCCTCCCCCACTTCCTACCCCCCCCCACCCGCCCCCACTTCCTGGAGCAGCGACCTGCCCCCTTCCCGCCTGCACTCCCCTCCACTTCCAGGGCTGGGCTTCTCCTCACACCAGCCAGACAGCCTACTCTCCACCCAGGGGAAGTGGCTGCCTCCGCCAGGCCGCTTCCAGGAAGCCCTGGGCCAGGCCCCAGCATTGTTCGGGCCCCACGGCCGGCACCCCAGGCAGCCGGACACCATGAAGTCCAGCGGCCCAGTGGAGAGGCTGCTCAGAGCCCTGGGGAGGAGGGACAGCAGCCGGGCCACCAACAGGGTAGGAGGGCCCATTGGCTGGGCAGAGGAGGGGCAGGGGTGGAGGTGTGGGCAGTGGGGGAGGGGGCCAGGACTCAGGCCAGACCCCCTTCCCAGTTTCGGCTTCCTCAGCCTTCTCCCCTTGTCCCGCATCCCCTCGCATCCCCTCGTTACGCTATCCCTCTGGAGTGGCCAGGTCTGGCTGTGGCGTGAGCAGCAGACGTTAGGGTTAGAGCAAAACCTGGCGTCCCTTTCAGCTCCCCTGACACATTCCCTGCCCTAGCCCAGGCCAGCCCTGCACCCAGGCAGGTATACATCATTGTAGGATCTTCCTGGGTACTATTCTGGAACCCCAGAGAGGACGTCCCTAAGCTGATTAGTTTGAGGGAGATGGGATGGGGGTGGCGAAGGAAGGAAGGGAGGGAAGCAGCCAGGTCTCAGGAGTGCTTTAGACAAGGGGGGGTTGATTTGCTTTCCACTGCTATCATCTGTGTGTGCCATTAATGCCAAAATGCACCCAAGTTTCCTAGTGGGTCTGGCAGAGTTGGTCCAGCCCAGAAGAGTTCAAGTTGGGTTTAATCCAGAAGCTTCAGGGACAGCCAAGAGACCAGAGGTGCTGCCTGCATCCCCAGGCTGAGGGGCCTGGAGGCCCCATCACTGCCTTTCCCCACATTTTCTCAGCCTCACCCCAAAAGAATCATCTCAGGGCAACATGAGACAATACTATGGGGGAGGGAGGCAGGAACTTGAATGCCAGAGGAGAAAAATAGGTAGAAGAGAGAAGAGGCAAGGAAGCAGATGGTCCCCAGAGGATGGGAGGGATGGGACAAGGTAGGCCTGGGCCATAGGGGGCATCCCAGCCTCCTCGCTCACTGCACTCTGTGTGGAGAGGGGCCCAAGAGCATCTGCTCCACCCTCTCCCCCTCCAACGCTGGAATCCCACTTGAACCTCCTCAAGTGACGGGGCACTTACTACATCCCGGAGCAGTAAGGCAGCGAAATGTTTCCAAGTCATGCCTCCATCTGCCTCTCCCTCTGAGCATCACCGCCCCCTCCTTACACAACTGCTGCCTGCCGCCTGGGTGCACAACGAGTAAACATGTTGTTCTGACGCTAGGGGGAGGAGGGCGTGTCAGCCGCCTGGAGGACTGGGACATCGGGACCAGGGGAGCAGGCCTGGCTGAGGCCCTCCTGCCGGGTCAGTCTGGGTGCTGTGTGACTGACACCATACATTCATGTCTGACCCCCTCCCTGCTCACTCTCTACCGAAGCCTCCAGCTGGGGAGGGCAAGATGGGAGGAGAAACAGGTTGTCTTCATAGCAGAGTCAAGGAGCGCCATCCCCCTACACCAGGACGGAAGCTCTAGGGCTTGGGTGGCAGTGACCGCAAGGGTATCACACACCAGGGCCACGTGAGGGGCCTAAGTGATCCCTTGGGGAGGAGCTGACCCAGCTAAGGTGACGCAAGGGGCCAGGTTCTATGCACTGTCTAGGACAGGCCCTACAACTGCCCGGAAACAGCTGTGGCCAAGTGCGTTCTACGAGTTTGGGGGCTTTATTGGGATGGAAGAAGAGAGAAACTGTGCAGTGCTCGGGCCCCGGCCCAGTCCTGGAGATGGGCCCGTGGGAACTGACACCTCTGTCTGTCTGTCCCTCCACCTAGCCTAGGAAAGCTGAGCCACATAGCTTCCGGGAGAAGGTTTTCCGGAAGAAACCACCGGTCTGTGCAGTGTGTAAGGTGACCATCGATGGGACAGGCGTCTCGTGCCGAGGTGAGGCGCCCTGCCCTATGCTGTGACTCTGCGAGCATCACCCAGCACCACTGGGTGGCACAACCCCAGCAGGCAGACCGCAGAACAGAACCTGTACTGCGCGTGCTGCCCCTGGGCTGGGCCACGTGGGAGCCAAGAGGAACTGCGTCCCCTCGAAACAGCCCTTGCTCCCCCAGCACCCCAGGAGACCCAGTACTCTAAATCACCCTCCCACCTCACCTGAGACTGGAGGCTTTCCTCCCTTGCTTCCTCTTCACCCGCACCCACCCTAGAACGTTACCCCTGGCTCCCTCCCTCCCTGGCCTGGGCAGTAGTGCACCACTGCCATGCGATTCCCTTGAACTCTGCCCCTGCTCCCCCACTCCAGCCAGCTCAGTACAGCCGGAGTCCTGGAAGTCCCAAGGTCTAGTTCCAGGGCCTGGAGAGATGGGAGAGGGCCACCCCTTCCACTGCCCCAGTGGGGGCCCTGCTAACCCCTCTCCTCCCCTCCATCCCCTCTAGTCTGCAAGGTGGCGACACACAGAAAATGTGAAGCAAAGGTGGGTACCAGCTGTGGGGAGGGGGACTGGGGTCCCTTCCTCCTCTGAAACAGGCTTCTCCAACCACACTGGCATCAACCCTCCACCCTTCTCATCATTGGGGAACCCACCTGCTGGGTGGGAGAGGGTACTGTACTGGGCCCTTTAAGAACCATCCTACTCCACCCCCTGGAGGGCTGGCCCAGGCAGCGCAGACAGCAGGGCGCAGCGTTTGTCTTGGTGCAGTGCCCAGGCTGCAGCTGGCGAGTGGATGGGGGGTGGGGAAGAGGAGGAGAGCAAGGAGGAGGAAGGGTGGGGTGGGTGGGTGTCAGAGCAGGATTTCGGAGACGTGCAGCCGGATGGGCTGTGCCTTCCTTCTGGGGAAGGGTCCTCAGGATGCCTGAGTGGGTCTTGTCCTGGGCCCTGGAAAGGCTGGGCAGAAGGTGCAAGGTGTAGATAGCACCCACTGTCCACTGGGAACCTGAGAGAGCCGCATCTCTGGGGAGGTGCCCTGGTCCTCCTCCTGCAGTGTGAGGGGTCCTAGGGCCTTGGAGCTGGCTTTGGGGAGCTGTGTGCCCAGGGGCGGGGTCTCCCAGTGAAAGAGGCCAGTGTCCGTCCCTAGCTGTGGCCTGCCTGCATGGCTCTATATATAACTCCTGCCCTGCAGCTGGATGAATGGGGGTCTGTGTGGGCAGGGGGCCGGAAGCCAAGAGTAACAAGTGGGGGGCCCAGGGGTGGGGGACCGAGAGGCCAGAGGGGAGGCTCCCTTAAATAGAGGAACCTCAGTTGCAGCCTGTGCCCATCTGCTGACAGCCCCTCCACCTTCTCGCTGAAGCTGAGGGGTGGCCCCATCCTTAAGCCCGGGAAAGCCCATTTCACCAGCAGCTCAGCTCCTCACTCCCGTCTCCTTCCAGGTGACTTCGTCCTGTCAGACCTTGCCTCCCACGGAGCTGGTGAGTATGCTCTGGGATGGGGTGACCGAGGCAAGGAACCTGGCTGCGGCGATGTCCAGAGGTCTGGTGGCCACAGAGAGGGCCCCCAGGAGGTTACCTTGAATGGACTAATGTGGATAGTGGTCAATCCTGAGGCAGTGGGAAAAATATTTGAGCCCTCTGCTCTCGTCCTCTTGGGCCTGCTGGGGGCTAGGACTCCCCCCGCCCCAGTACATCCCTCACAGGGACGCCGGCTGGTCCTTGCCCCTACCCTAACCACTCCTTTTTCCTCCCCCATCTCCCTCTAGCGGAGAAACACGGCCCCTGTGAGGCGCATAGAGCACCTGGTAAGGTGATGCTGGAGCAGGGGGGCGGAAGCAGGTAGCTCTGGGACTAAGGACCTAGGTTTCTTCTGAGGCAAAAGTTCATGGAACTCTGGAGTGGGGAGCCTAGAGTGAGGGGCACAGAAGACGTGTGCAAAGTCTCATCTCATCCACCAGGGATCCACCAAGTCTCTGAACTACTCAAAGCAACGCAGCACTCTGCCCAGGTAAGTGAGGGCGCGGGGTGTGGTCCCATATGAGCCCCTTCCGCTGGCCTCACACCTCAGCCCAGGGCAGGGCCCCCCAACAAAGCTCTCCAGGCCAGCGCCGCTCCCCAGCTGGTCCCACCCACTCTCAGGACCCAGGAGACCTCACCTGTAGTCAGCCAAACACCCTTCCTTCACACCAGCCTCCGGTGCCCGCCCTACCCCCACTCTCCGCCCTGTTCCTAACACAGGCTTCGCCTCCTCCCCAGGAGCTTCAGCCTGGATCCTCTCATGGAGCGCCGCTGGGACTTGGACCTCACCTACGTGACGGAGCGGATCCTGGCCGCCGCCTTCCCCGCGCGGCCCGACGAACAGCGACACCGGGGACACCTGCGCGAGCTGGCTCACGTGCTGCAATCCAAGCACCGCGACAAGTACCTGGTAAGGGGCGGGACCTGCCTCAGTCAGCCAACGAGAGGGCTGGGAGGTCCAGGCCCCTCCCTGACGTCACGCCGCAGAGGCGGAGCCCGAGTGGGCGGGGCCCGGGCGCAAACCTGGAACGCCGACTGGGCTGTACGAGCTAGGTTGGGCCTTAGCGACCTCCTCATTTTGGAGAAAGACCCTTCCTTAGGGTCACAGCGGGTGATACCACCTCCAAGCATCACCGCGCCTCGCTGCCTGGGGTCACTTCGCCTAATGCCCCCACTTTACTTGCAGCTCTTCAACCTGTCAGAGAAAAGACATGACCTGACCCGCCTAAACCCCAAGGTAGGAGGGGATTAAAGCCATCACCCCCTGCCTCTTCAGTATTAATAGTAGCAGTTGCCATCTACTTCACTCTGAAGCACGTTCCCATATGACACGTCACTTGGGACACCCCAAAGCTTGGTGCAGCAGGTATCAAGCCATTGTCCAGGTGAGGGAAGTGTTGAAGCTGCCATGGACACAGCCAACAGGCCCCTGACCTTGTCTCCAGGCCCCTACAGCCTGTCCCTCTTCCACCCCCACCCACCTCTTCTTTGGTGGCCACCAGCCCCAGTCCCTCTCCTGCACCCCTCAGGTCCAGGACTTTGGCTGGCCTGATCTGCACGCGCCCCCGCTGGACAAGCTGTGCTCCATCTGCAAAGCCATGGAGACGTGGCTCAGTGCTGACCCGCAGCATGTGGTCGTACTGTACTGCAAGGTGAGCTGGGAGCGCGAGTTCGCAGTGGGGGGGGGGGTGCCCTCAGCCAGGGTCCCCAGCAAGCCCTGCATCCCTGTCTCTTTGTCCTTAGGGGAGCAAGGGCAAGCTCGGGGTCATCGTCTCTGCCTACATGCACTACAGCAAGATCTCTGCAGGGTAAGGCTCCCCAGCCCTGAGCGCCCCCTTCCCCAGTGACCCTTCCTCCAGCTGGCCCTTGACGAGCCCATCTCCTCTGAAGCCCACCTCAGTGTTCAGAAGAGCTATTTACTATAAACTTGACCTTTCTACCTCCTTTTTCTCACTTGCACTTCACCACACTTTTCCTAGGGCTGCTGTAACAAAGTGCCACAAACTAAGTGGCTTAAGACAACAGAAACCTGTTGTCTCAGTTTTGGGGGCTACAAGTCTAAAATCTGAGGTGTCAGCAGGGCCACACTCCCACTGAGACTCTGGGTAGAGACCTTCCTGGCCTCTTCCTAGCTCCTGGTGCTGGCCAACAGTCCTTGGTGTTCCTCGGCTTGCAGATGCATCACTCCAATCTCTGCCTTTGTTGTCACATGGCCTTCTTCCTGTGTGTCTGTGTGTCTGTGTGTCTGTGTCTCTTCTTCTCTTCTTCTAAGGACACCAATCATATTGGATTAAGGGCTCATCCTACTCCAGTTTAACATCATAACTAATTACATCTGCAACGACCCTATTTCCAAATAAGGTCACGTTCTGAGGTACATATCTTTTGCGGGGACACGATTCAACCCATAACATGGTCTTACTGTCCCATTTTACAGAGGAAGAAACTAAAACTCAGGGAACAATTACCCGAGGTCCAACAACTAGTAAAGTGACTGGGGTTTCTAGTTCTCTTCACCACCACTCTGGGCCTCCTCTAGACTTGGGGGAAATCGTACCTCTCTTCCCTCCCCTGGGGCTTAGGGCTGGGAGACCAGGTTGGAGACCAGCCCCTAAGACCCCACACTGGTCCCACTCTCCCCAGGGCGGACCAGGCGCTGGCTACCCTTACCATGCGGAAGTTCTGTGAGGACAAGGTGGCCTCGGAGCTGCAGCCCTCCCAGCGCCGGTGAGCAGCCTAGGTGGAGACGGGCCAGAGGAGCAGCTCCCTCCGTGGCTATGAAGGCCGAGGTTCTCTCATTCATGCCGCACACCTTCATGGAGCGCCTCCTGTGTGCTTGGGATTGTGGCAAGTGCTGAGAACGCAGGACAAGCACAGGGTCCCTGCTCTCGTGGGGCTTATTTACATGCTAGTTGGGTAGATGGCAATAAACCTGTGAATAAAGAGACAAGGTCATTTTGGATGATGACAGGCGCTATCTATACAAAAAATAAAGCTGAGTCTCGTGATGAACGGAGACTCACAGGACAGTCAGGGCCCACCGCTATATAACGTGCGGCAGAGATCTGGGGGAAGGGCATTCTAGACAGAGGGAACAGCAAGAACAAAACCTCGGAGACAGCAAGAAGGATGGAGGTTAGATGGAAGGAAGAAATCTCTGTTGAGCTGGAAGATGGGAGGGAAGCACCAAGGAGAAGGTGGCTGGGGCAGCGTTCGTAGTTGAGATGACACCCGGGGACCTCCAGAGGAAGGGGCTTACATCCTCCTTGACATCCCCCTGCCAGGTATATCGGCTACTTCAGTGGTCTGCTGTCCGGCTCCATCAGAATGAACAGCAGCCCTCTCTTCCTGCACTATGTGCTCGTGCCCATGCTGCCAGCCTTTGAACCCGACACGGGTGAGTCTGCTTGGAATGTACTCCAGGGAGCGGGCTGTCCCCCACCGCCCCCTCCACTCAGCACCCCTCACGTGCCTTCTCCTTCTTGCCCGTCCAGGTTTCCAGCCCTTCCTCAAGATCTACCAGTCCATGCAGCTTGTCTACACATCTGGAATCTAGTGAGTGCTCTGTTCCCGGGCCTCTGCTTCCCTGCTCCCTGGGTCCCTGTTTCTCCAGCCTCCCCAGATAGCTGGGCCTCCAGCCACTGCACCCACAAACTAGTAGCATCACAGAATCCGTTTTATAGGTGGGGAGGCTGATGCTTACAGGGCTATCACTAAGGCAGTGTTCAGTCTCCAGTCTCCCAACTGCCTCCTGACTCTTCACAGCCACCCGTGCACCCGCGTGCCCCTGATTCACCTCTGCCCTCTCTCTTCCCCAGTCACGTTGCAGGCCCTGGTCCCCAGCAGCTTTGCATCAGCCTGGAGCCAGCTCTCCTTCTCAAGGGCGATGTCATGGTGAGGGGGCCTTAGCGACAGGGAGAGTCCTTGGGGTGGGGTGAGGGGCGGTGGTATAAGCCGCCAGCTGCACAGTCTCTGGTGAGCCATCAATTCGAGGCCGATGGGAGGGCAAAGAAGGCGTCCTCCTGATGGGGAGGTCACCCTGGGGTTCAGGCAAGGCAGAGCCGTGGCCAGATAGTCCCCAGGGTGGAAGCACCGAGGAGACGTGAGTGGACACGAGGGCCTGAACGCCAGTCTCCCTCCCCTCACCCAGGTGACATGCTATCACAGGGGTAGCCGGGGGACTGACCGGACCCTCGTGTTCCGAGTCCAGTTCCACACGTGTACCATCCATGGACCACGGCTCCCCTTCCCCAAGGACCAGCTGGACGAGGCCTGGGCCGGTGAGTTGGAGACAAGTGGCGTGGGGGCTGGAGCCCAGGTGAGGGCGGGCGGGCGGGCGCCTGTCCCCTCACTGCCCACTCCCCACAGACGAGAGGTTCCCCTTCCAAGCCTCGGCGGAGTTCATCTTCTCCTCCAGCCCAGAGAAGATCAAAGGTGAGAGCCAGGCCTGGCCCCGGCGGGGGGCGGGGGGGAGGCATCCCTCCCTGCACCTCACCCCCAGGTGCCCTTCCGTAGGCAGTACCCCACGGAACGAGCCCTCGGTCTCTGTTGACTACAACACAGCAGAGCCTGCCGTGCGCTGGGACTCCTACGAGAACTTCAACCTGCACCACGAGGACAGTGTGGATGGTGTGTGGGGCGTGGGGCGGCAGGAGGTGGAGTTTTGGAGGGCACACTCTTCCCTCCCCAGGCAGACACCCCTCCCAAAAGACACCCCCTGAGCTGGAGTCTCCTGCGCTGTCCCCTGTTAACACACGCTCTCTCTCGCTCTCTCTCGCGCGCCCTCTCCCCTCTCTCTCTCTCTCTCTCTCTCTCTCTCTCTCTCTCTCTCTCTCTCTCTCTCTCTCTCTCTCTCTCTCTCTCTCTCGTCCCCTTTTGCCTGCTTGCCCTCCCTCCCGGATCCTCTCCCCACCCAGACTCCGTCACCCATACCCGGGGGCCCCTGGATGGCAGTCCTTACGCCCAGGTGCAGCGGGCCCCCCGCCAGACCCCGCCGGCGCCCTCTCCGGAGCCGCGCCCGCCCCCGCTGCTCTCTGTCAGCAGCGATTCTGGCCATTCGTCCACGCTGACCGCAGAGCCCACCGCTGAGTCCCCTGGCCGGCCACC